AATCTAGTCTCTCCTTGCGGTCTGCCGTAATGTTCCCTCCAAGCTCCTTCAGCGGTACATCCGTCTGGAGCTGGAATGTGATAAACACCGAAATGATGTCGACCTGATTCTGGGATTCGACCATTGACTGCTCTGAGGTATTTGATTCAAATAGATACCTTCGAGGTTGTAAAGAAGGCGATGAAAAAATGACAATGACAGAGACATATATATGCTCACGATGAGCTGTTGTAGTTAGCGTCTGAATGACTCAACTGAATAAACTTTTGATCCATTTCACGCCTTATCCAGATCATCTCAATAACAGAACATATTTGTAAAACATGAAATCCTTATTAATTCAGTTATGTCTCAATCGAGTGAGCATCACTTACTAATCAGTATGACTAGTCAAAGCTGCAGAGAAAGTATCTCGAAAAGTATAAATGTGAAATGCAAAATATGAATTTCTAATTTTACTGTGATGTTGAACAATCGAAAATGCGAGATTCAACAGTCTTAAATTCCTAAAAATGGCGAATTTTATTGAACCTATAGCTGAAAGAGAGATGGATGCCAATGAATCAAATACGGTCTGTTCAGTGATAACGTGGATGTAAACACTCGCAATCAGATATCAAAATCGCTGGTTGGATAAACAAGCAAGTAAATGAATGTAGTCAAATACGAATGCGCAAACCTATACGTTAGAGTAATATAAGCACTCTCTGCACGATCGAGTACTCCAACGGAGGGCCTGATTCGGAAGAGATCGTTGCTGGTGCACTTCACTTTAAACGATTGTCTTGAACGACTTCGGTTCGTTATTTTCATTATCAAACTTATCTCACCTTTCAAATTACCACTGAATACCAACTGAAGTTCTCCAATTGAAATGAGTTCACTTTTGTTAAGTTCATTTACAATATTACTTATTTATGGCTGAGTAGACAAAACTTTCCGGTAACTGATGATTTTCAGGTAGGAAGGGAAAAAAGAATCATCCAGAAATGACTGGAATATAGGATTGCTTTTGGAAATAAGATAGCAGTCATTGTTAATATGTTGTGCGTGATAGACCAGTGAGCATTTGCTCATCTCATCAGTGATTTGCTCATTACAATCTTATATCCACCACTTTTTCATCCTACCTCAACTGGTTACCCATAGAAATTGCAAGCAACTTCCTCTTCATTCCGCTGTTAGTTTAGTTTTCTGAATGCAACGTTGCCAAAGGAATTGCACCTGTTTTCTTGGTTCCTCGTCTGATTCAGAACTACTTCTGCTGCGACTGCTTGACATAACTATATTTTCGGCCTCGATGAATCCTTGAAATCAGATTCTGGTGCCGCCGACAAGCACTGGAAGTGTCGTTATGAAATGATTTCCGTTGACTTCAGGTCGATTTTATACATTTAAGTGGCTAATCATTCTGAATAAATGCAGCAGTTCGAAAAATTCAAATTTTCTTCCAATTTTACGGTGATGGGAAATCGGAAACCAAAATTATCAAACGTCAAAACGACTTCAATTTCGGGTGAACAAATTTCGGAAATTCTGATCGATTTAAGAAACGCTAGAAAAATGTAGTAGAAGTTGATTGACTCACTGTGAGGAGCTGAAGTCTTATTGAACCTAGTCTTATGCTTGCCTTCAAGGTACGGAGCAATAACCTTCTAAAGAGCAATAACCCTTCCTTTACAATAGTAATTCATGTTTTCTAGGTGCTAGTTTGACAACAAGGAAGTAATTTCATTGATAACGCCATTAAATTCTTGATAGCAGGGTTAATAAACGGTGGATCAGTTTTGTGCTGAATTCCTCCTGACATGTCACTCACGAGTACCACACTGATGAAGGAAAGCGGAGGACAAACAATCACGCAGATTTTGGATTTTTTTTTGAGGGTTAAAGAGAATAAAAGTCTATCATGTGGCCAGAATGTACATGAAGCTGGAGAGCGTCAAGGTTGCTGATCAGTTCGAATGGTCAAGGCTTTGAGCAATTTGTCACTATCGATCCCATCAAACATCAATGAAGCACGAGACAATCTCCTTCTGGGCACAGTGTGAAAAGATTGCATGTACAGGTACTGTGAGCAGTATTTTTTTGCCGTTGTGTAGAGGCGAACGGGAAAATTCAAGGACTCCTTCACCGTTTCTGATCCTCGCCTCAGCTTATTTCAATGCGGCCGCATTTTCGCAGTCTCCAATTGCTAATTTTGTTTTCCACCTCCCTGTTCCCAAATTTTGTTCATTCCTCTCAGCAGACTAGTTTTAAACCAGCATTCTCGCTAACAATGCCCCAATTGAAAAATGAAACTTATTTCGGTCGACAAACTGCTTTCTTATAAATATATTCCGTTTTTACTCTCACTATCAGCAACGAAACTGCGAATGTCGGGCCAAAATGCAACCTGAACATCGTGGAGCACAGTCACATCGGAAGAACCTATCTGAGCAAATCAAACGTTTGCATCAGATCATTACAATTGGATCCTGATCACCATTCAAAGTAAACTTCAGTGCTGCAAATCACAATTCGTTTACCATTCAGGCAACAGATCTCGAGCGAAAAGCAAACTGTGCCTATCGGTAGTTATCGAATGCTCTCTCACTCACCAACAATTTCTTTCTTGGTTGATAGCAAACTTGTTCAACTGTTATAATACATATAGCAAGCATATTGCTGAACTAATATCGACAATATTTGTGAATAGTTGATTGAGGTCTCTACTGCACTAAACTAAATAACACGTATTTTAATCCCATCAACATTCAAAACGATGGATAACGATACACTGTACACCAACAACCAACAACCAATCGAAATTGCCTGCAGTTGCTTGAAAAATTCTGATTAAAAGATTTGTATGATACAGAACACCAAAGCTTCCGAAATTTTGCCAAATAAACGGAATAAAATTCGGAAAAATGCTTCCAAATTGAATTGTTTACTTCATGAATTATTATTTCGTTTTGCATTCTTCTCCTTTCGGGATGAATAATAATGTAAAATGAGATATAACTAGCCGAAATTCTCAGATCCAGGTAAATACCCACTGACAGTTCAGAGATTCATTAGACGTCGTTAGTAAATGAGCTTTAATATTTGAGTTTAATATTTGTCTTACAATTAGAATTATTACTGGCAGATCATAAACAGTATTTGGTAGATCTTAAAATTCCATAGTGTATGCAATATCTTCGTAGGTCGCAGGTTTCATTGCAGTTCATTTGACTGGGCAGATTGTCCAGTATGTTCTATGTATTTTGGCAGATTTCTTTCGGATGGATCGTGAACCAAGTAGCAATACACCTACAAGTAGTTGGATTCTTCTGAAATTTCCATCATTTTCCATTGTATAAAATTCACTGCATCCTAAAAATCTCTATACTGATCACATACGCTCAATAAATTGTAATATTTGAATTGGTTTAAAACGATTCTGCAAAATTCTTCGGTATTATAATATCGGTTGGATGCGAAGAACTTTGTGATGTTCAATCATCTAAATCCAAATCACATCACAGAACATTCAAATGATTTGCATATATTGCTGCCGATCGCTCACCCATCAAAGTGTTCATTGATCACCTAATATGAAGTGGATGATCCTTCAAGCCAAGCCAACTACATTGCAGCACATTAGAGAGTCAAACTAGAAAGCAACGACCAACTGAGGAGGAAAAACCACAGCTTTCCTGGATATG